AGAGAGCCTGCCGAAAGTCAAAATTCACGAAACTCGAAACCATTTTCCCCATAAGAAATAAGGGAAATAAAATTAATCCATTCCAGACACCCAAAAATATTAAATTTTTTTTTTTCAAATTAAATAAAGATTTACATAATGAAAACAATCAGAAATCAAGTACATGCATTTAAAAAAATAATAACAACATTACACTTACCTTTACTGAAGACTTCTGTGTTGATGAAAGATGGGAGGAGGGGATAGGAGGAAGGTGTACACTATTTTTTGGAAGGAGAATCTCCTTCCATTAGGACTTCAGGTATGAAGTCCATATCTGGGGTTACTTCCCTTCTTCTTTTAATGCCACTGGGAACAACTCGAGAGTCACTGGACCCGTCTCACAAAATATCTGTCCAGAGAGCTCTGTTTCTGGTGTTTCTTTAAGATTTGTCTTAAGTGGGGCACAACACTGTCATTGTACATGTTGCCAATATCGGCCTGCAACAGCTTTGTTAGGGTGAAGATCATCCATAAATGTTTGCACTTCAGCCCACTTTGCACAAATGTCCTTAATCTTTGAAGAAGGCACCTTCCTCCATCTCTCTTCCTCCTCCTCTCCAGCAGTTTCCTGAGCTGTGATCTGTTGCTGTTGGAGATGAAGCTCTTGCAGCTCTTCAGTGGTTAGCTCTTCCCTGTGGTCCTCCACCAACTCTTCCACATCCTCACCACTCACCTCCAACCCCAGGGACATCCCCAATGCCACAATAGTTTCCACAACTGGCATAGGCTCCTTAAGGTCAGCCACAAACCCTTCAAAATCCCTCTCTTCTACACAATCTGGCCACAATTTTCTCCAAGCAGAGTTCAAAGTCCTGGAAGTCACTCCCTCCCAAGACTTACCTATAAGTTTTATGCAACGGAGGATATTAACCCTTTGAGGGTCGACAGGCCCTCTCCGAAACTCGTTCTCAGGGTCGGCCAAATTTAAAAAAAAAAAAATTATTTTCTCTTATGAAAAGATAGAGAATCTTTTCCCGATCATAAAGACACCAAAAGTTTGAAATTTGATAGAAAACTTACGGAATTATGCTCTCGCAAATTTAGCGGTCTTGGCGATGTTTACGCATCGGCGATTTTGCCCACTTTGAGCCCCATTTTCGGCCAATTTCACTGTACTAGTCGACAAAAAACATAAATATTTCGCTAGAACTCCATTTTTTCTATCGAATGGGTGCAAGAAACCACTCATTTATGAAAGTCAACTATCCAGTACAGTGGTCAGAATTTAGCAATTTTGCCAATTTCACACAAATTTCAAAAGATGCCAATTTCCGAATAGGGTCCAGAATAAACAAGAAAGACATTCCTGGTACTAAAATGACATTTCCTCTAATCATTAGTCATGTCTCAAGGCCCCACTTATATTCTTTTGCTTTCCACTTTGAATTTTTATTTTCACAAAAAATATAAGATTTACTGTTATGCAGACTACTGCATTAGTGTAAGAAATGGTATAAATATTATTGGTGCACTTGTGAAAAAATATTAGACTCACCAGTTGACGTGTATTGCACGCTTGGCACGATTTGTTTACTTTTGAAGTTTGGTAAAAATCAAACATTTCTGCTACTTTGAGCTCAATTTCAAGGCACCTTTCATTGTAAAACCAGTCAAAATCATCTCAATTTCTGTAATATGTCTTCCATTCTATAAAATGAGACCAAGAAAACTAGAATACAACAATAAATACCATACGAAAATACACTGCAAAGTCGCTGATTTATTAAAAAAAAAATGGTGTTTTTTTTTTCACATTATGCACTGTGTGCTGCAGGATTTTTTTTAGACTGTGCACACTGACCACATAGACCCATTCTTTCATATGAAGGCCTACCAGCTTTCTCCCACTAGATTTGAGGCCGCTAGAATTTATGAGTACTAGTACGTCAAAAACCCCTACGCGTAAGACGTACTAGTACGACGAAAACCCTCAAAGGGTTAAAGTGATCTTTCCAGAACTCTCTTAGGGTCAATTCAGTGTCTGAGGTCACTTCAAAGCACTTTTGAAACACTGCTTTTGGGTAGAGTTTTTTGAAGTTTGAAATGACCTGCTGGTCCATGGACTGGAGGAGAGGAGTTGTATTAGGGGGCAAGAACTTCACCGTGATGAAACTAAACTCCTCCACTATTTGCTCTTCCAAGTCTGGAGGATGAGCAGGAGCACTGCCCATTACCAGGAGGCACTTGAGTGACAATTTATTTTCCAGGAGGTATTTCTTCACACTGGGGCCAAACATTTCATTAAACCAGTCTAGGAAAATATCCCTTGTGACCCATGCCTTACTGTTAGCCTTCCACATCACACACAAATTACTCTTAGCGACACTGTATTTCTTGAACACTCTGGAATTTTCAGTGTGATACACCAGTAAAGGCTTCACTTTAAAATCCCCACTTGCTTACTACAAAACATGAGAGTAAGCCTATCCTTCATAGGCTTGTGTCCTGGGAGTGGCGCTTCCTCCTGTGTGATGTAGGTCCTCTTTGGCACTTTCTTCCAGAAGAGGCCTGTTTCGTCACAATTAAACACCTGCTGGGGTTTGAATTCTCCAGTGTCTGCGCACTCCTTAAACTCCTGTACAAACTTCTCAGCTGCAATTTTGTCAGAACTGGCAGCCTCACCATGCCTTATCACACTGTGAATGCCACTATGCTTCTTAAATCTCTCAAATCAACCTTTGCTGGCCTTAAAATCACAAGCATCACCACTTGTTGCAGGTATTTTCTTTACGAGATCATCATGCAACTGCCTTGCCTTTTCACATATTATCGACTGCGTAACACTATCTCCTGCTAACTGTTTTTCGGTAATCCACACCAACAATAACCTCTCCACTTCTTCAAGGATTTGTGATCTTTTTGTCAGCATATCCACCCCTTTTGCAACAACAGCACACTTTATTTCCTTTCCTTTGGCCACGATCGAAGTGATGGTTGAATGGGGTTTGCCATACATCCTGGCAAGCTCTGTAACACGCACTCCACTCTCATATTTTTCAATGATTTCCTTCTTGAATTCGATCATGTTCCTCACTTTCTTTACCAAAGGGCTTGCACTAGCTTTCCTTGGGCCCATGGTGACTTATTTAGCAGTTGTAATCACAAAAAACAATGGATTATTACGTATGAACCCGCGGGGTGATGGTCACGTGTTGGTAAACAATGGCACACTGAGCGTGAATGGCGTGGGAGACTGGCTTTGTGTGCGCAGTGACGGGTGGACGGGCACCGGATGGTCGCCGAAACACGAGTTAATCACGAAACTTGAGGCCAAATTTTGCCCAAAAAACTCGCCAAAGGTTGAATTTCATGAAAGTCGAGGCTGCCGAAACTCGAGGGTCCACTGTAATTCATTATTTTTTTTTATTAACAAATCAGCCGTTTCCCACCAAGGCAGGGTGGCCTGAAAAAGAAAATCTTTCATCACTCACTCACTCCATCACTGTCTTACCAGAGGCATGCTTATACTACAGTTATAAAACTGCAACATTAACACCCCTCCTTCAGAGTGCCAGAACTGTACTTCCCATCTCCAGGACTCAAGTCCGGCCTGCCGATTTCCCTGAATCCCTTCATAAGTGTTACCATGCTTACACTCCAACAGCACGTCAAGTTCTAAAAAACATTTGTCTCCATTCGCTCCTAACACACTCATGCATGCTTGCTGGAAGTCCAAGCCCCTTGGACAAAAAAACCTCCTTTACCCCCTCCCTCCAATCTTTCCTAAGCTGGTCCCTACCCCGCCTTCCCCCCACTACAGATTTATACACTCTCGAAGTCATTCTATTTCGTTCCATCCTCTCTACATGTCCAAACCATCTCAATAACCCCTCCTCAGCCCTCTGGATAATAGTTTTGGTAATGCCACACCTCTTCCTAATCTCCAAACTACGAATTCTCTGAATTATATTTACACCACGCATTGCCCTCAGACATAACATCTCCACTGCCTCCAGTCTTCTCCTTGTTGCAACATTCACAACTCATGCCTCACACCCATACAAGAGCATTGGTATAACTATAGTCTCACACATTCCCCTCTTTGCTTTCATGGATAAAGTTCTTTGTCTCCACAGGCTCCTCAGTGCACCAGTAACCTTTTTCCCCTCATTAATTCTATGATTCACCTCATCCTTCATAGACTTATCTGCTGGCACATCCACTCCCAAATATCTGAACACATTCGCTTCCTCCATCCTCTCTCCCTCCAATCTGATATCCAATCTTCCGTTACCTAATTTTTTTGTTATCCTCATCACCTTACTCTTTCCTATATTCACTTTTAATTTTCTTCTTTTACATACCCTAACAAACTCATCAACCAACCTCTGCAACTTCTCTTCAGAATCTCCCAAAAGCACAGTGTTGCGGCCCCCTGCCAAACTAGCGGTTAAATAGTTAACCTGCCGGCCGGCAGTACCACTGGGTACGTCATCAAACCCAATGTGGGGACTGCTGAGCCGGCCTTAGAGCAGTAAGTTCCTGAGTGCCTCACGGTGCACATCTAAGCAGTAGGTACCTGACCACCTAAGGGTACAGTCTACTGGCTTTAGTAACAGTATGTACCTGATCTCATCAACCAACCTCTGCAACTTCTCTTCAGAATCTCCCAAAAGCACAGTGTCATCAGCAAAGAGCAACTGTGACAACTCCCACTTTGTGTTAGATTCTTTATCTTTTAATTCCACACCTCTTGCCAACACTCGACCATTCACTTCTCTTACAACTCCATCTGTAAATATATTGAACAACCACGGTGACATCACACATCCTTGTCTAAGGCCTACTTTTACTGGGAAATAATCTCCCTCTCGCCTATATACTCTAACCTGAGCCTCACAATCTATTATTTCAGCGTGATACAATGTTTGTACAGATATGTGTGACATTTAGCTGTGCATGCAGAAATCCTGTAGCTATGCAGAGCATCTTAGGCAAAAAATTCTTATTTTAGTGACCTCCTGAGAGCAATAACTGGGCCAAAGATCTCCTGCTGGAAGCAAGGCATGTCTTCCTTCACGTCGACCAGGATGGTGGGCTGGAAGAACAAGCCGCCCAGACTGTGTCGCTTCCCACCCAGCACCACCCTCGCACCGGCTGCTACTGATGCCTCCACGATCCTCTCCACCTGTAACATTGACTCTAGTTATCTTCTAGATAAAACAACTTTATACCAGAACCTACTCAATATACAGGACCTTCAAAGAGGGATTACTGTATACAGAGTAACTTTATAAGATGAGTGGCTGTTATACAGAAGAACTGATTGTACAACCTGTTGCAACCCCTGAATGGGTCACAATGTATATGATGTATATTATGTATATGTATATAATGTATGTTACTTTTTCATATAATTTTATATTGCTTATATTTGCAATAATAGCTAAATCGTAAATATATTGCTTTATATTATTATTTGACTTAGTTACTTTTGTTAGGTAGGATGTAACATATTATGTTCTCATAGTTTAAGTCTTGATTGTCTAACTACTGTAATTATCGCTTGTGGCTCGTTACTCTGCCGGCTTCTCTGTTGCTGAGCAGCAACTGTCCGCGGAGCTATCACGTGATCGAGGGGGGGTGATCTCACCTCGCCTGAAGTATTCAGTCTGGTCTAGACTCGCTGGTTGTACGTATTCCAGACAAGAAGTGCCTAAATCTCCCTTATTGGCCCTTGTTGGAAGATCGTCTGTCTTATTATTGTTGTTGGTTCTGGAGACTCTGTTCACAGAACATTGCATAGACTTAGTAATTTTCGACATTGTACTGAGGTTGTCTCTCTCTTAGACACTCTGAGCAACTCAGGTCCTGAGCTGTAGCTTCTGACCTAACTTGTACTGGTATCTGTGTACTGTCACAGTCAGGTATTTTCTTATGCTGAACTTAGATTCAGTAGTATGGGAGTTTTGTGACTTTTGTGGAGGATCTGCTGATGGTCCCTACTTAGTGTCGTTATTTTATCTCCTTTATCCTGATTCTGTGTCGCAGTTGCTTGTTATATTGCTATTGGGCTTAGAATTCTTTTTATTGTTCAAGCAGACTGTTCTGATTGCCAGTTGGTCAAGAAGTTAGTTTATGAGAGGACTTTGTCAGTCACTTGTTTAAGTCTAGTTGAGTCTTGAGACAGCGAACTACTTAGAGCACTTACACACATACACACACTTATTTGTATTATTAAATGTTAATGTACCAGACGGTACTTAAGACTTATAAATGTGTAGAGCTTTCAGCACAATACTACTGTACACGAGAGAAGTGATTATTATTAATTTGTTTGAATTGATTAATTTAATTTAATTTGATGATATACACAAATAACCCGCACATAAAAGAGAGAAGCTTACGACGACGTTTCGGTCCGACTTGGACCATTGAGTGTGACTTTGTCAATGGTCCAAGTCGGACCGAAATGTCGTCATAAGCTTCTCTCTTTTATGTGCGGGTTATTTGTGTATCGTTCCAGTCACGGTATTGTGCCTTTTTGTTATTTATTTGATGATATACCTCTCTAGACGATACTTAATAAATTTATTAAATTTTAATTTCTCTAGTTAGTAGCCTACCAGTTATAATCCTGAAGCACTATTAATTCTTACTAAATTTTAATGGATAATTGGACAAGGATACTGACTAACTGTCACGAAAACCCAGTAACAGGCTGGATGCTAGAAGGGCAGTCCTTTCTAGTATTCACTGGAGATCTCTAAGCTTTTTAGAAATCGTGTTTTTTGTAACACAGCCTCTCCTCACTTAGCGATGTACTTGTTTACCGACGACTCGGGCTTACGACTGGCTCTCTGACCAGTTTTTATACCTACATAATGTATATTAGAGCTGATTTTCTCCATTCTGCTTATTACAATACACATTATACTACTGTATAAACATTTAAAAATATACTAGAAATGTTATAAATGGTGCAGAGGTGATATTAACCCTTTGACTGTTTACGCCATATATATACGTCTTACGCGCCACTTTCTGACGTATTTATGCGCATAAATTCTAGCGGCTTCAAATAAAGCAGGAGAAAGCTGGTAGGCCCACATGTGAGAGAATGGGTCTCCATGGTCAGTGTGCACCATATAAAAAAAATCGGGGAGCCTGTGGTGCACAGTGGGAATGCCATTTCAGTTGTCCTTTATCAGCATGCTTAGCGTTACAAAATATGTGACTCCCCAGCAAATCTGGGACTCTTCTCTTCCCAAGTGAAGCTCTAACACAGATGGAAGTGTCAGAGAAGATCAATTTCATGATTTCGAGGAGTTTGAGACCAAAAGCAATGAAGGAGAAGGAAGAGGAAGAGGAGGGGGAGGAAGAGGGGGAGGAAGGAGGAGGAGAGGAGGAGAAGAGGAGGAAGAGGAGGAAGAGGAGAAGAAGGAAGAAGAGAAGAGGAAGAAGAGAAGAGGAAGAGGAGGCAGAGGAGGAGGAGGAAGAGGAAGAGGAGGCAGAGGAGGAGGAAGAAGAAGAAGAATGTGTGGGAAAAGTTCAATAGATAGGAGTAGCGATATAGTAACAATAGTTTCATTGCCGGCTACTTGTTAAGGTAGGGTAAGTCCAGCTCCCGCTATCCCCCTCCCCGAAAGTGATAGTTTGCTTGCCGGCTACTTGTTAAGGTAGGGTCAGTCTAGCTCCCGCTATCCCTTCCCCTCCTTCTCCCCCCCCCCCCCCCCGAAAGATGACGTGTGGGGCTCCGGTCCAAACAGTAATCACTAGACTCACAGCTCCCAGCACTACTGTAAGTATATGCCTACCTTGTATTCTAGTGGATTTATTGGTTGAAAGCTTCACTTTTGACCAATAATAAACTTAGTCCTTTCAGTCTTGCTCTAAATTGACTGCTGTAATAATCACCATGTCTTTTAGGTATTGTACTTATCATGGAGAGTGATTTCTTAAGCAGTGGGTAACCTGTCTATCTTTCCAGCTTGGATGACAGAGAGGGTCACCTGCCAATCAACGAGTAGAATTGAAGGAGACGGACTAACGTTCTGAGATGTCCCAAATTTTGATCCACTTACCTGTTTGTGTATGCAAGTAGCAGGATATAACCCCTCATCATTGCAGTGGAGAAAACCTGCTTTCCTGTCATCTGGAAGGATTATTGAAAGCTAGAAAATCTGTGAAGAACGAGCCGGTGGGTTGTCATCAACACCTGCGACCCCCCCCCCATCATCAGCAACGGCTACGATTTCAACAACACGCAGTGTCACCAACACCAGACACCCATGTTTTATATACATTTATATTAGCGTTGAATTCAGTTATCATTTATATTTTTCATTTTTCATTTTCTTTAAGGTAGGATCAATATTTCATATTTAAGTGTTTTATATCTTATATTTTCTAAATAATGAAAGTGTTTGCGTTTGTCAGTTTTTGTTCTTTTTCTATTCATTAATTTTCCTGAGGAGGGCCA